AGTATACTAGTAGTATACTAGTAGTATACTAGTAGTATACTAGTAGTAGTAGTAGTAGTAGTAGTAGTAGTAGTAGGAGTAGTAGTAGTAGTAGTAGTAGTGGTAGTGGTAGTTCTTGTACTAGCCATAGTCACAATAGTTACACCCAGTCACCCGGCGGGCACCGGATTGAACCCAGTTACCGCGATCCGAAGACCGCGTGCTCTACCGCCGGGCATGCCAGGCGCCCACACTTCTTGTTCAGGTGTGGGTTTCAGGGTGTGATGAGTTCACAACATATTCATATGTAGCGCCCATTGAAGTCGTTGTGTTCATCCTCTTTAATTAGGGTCCTAATCCATGCCATCAAATATCAGTAACACCGATAGGCACGGTTTGTGTGCATCGGTCCATTTGCCCATTGCCATTGATACTAGGGTTGTGTCCTGTTCTTTCAACCTGTCAATCAATGAACCGCCGTTCTCATCATCTAGCAAAGGCATAGGATTACATCTGGCATTTTATGTATGATGTTTGTTGTTCCTTTCTCTTGCTTCTTTGTTGCGTTGGCGTCACCCTCAATTGCACTTCCCCAAAGGCAGTGATGCCACCTAGGACCTACAGTACATTGTATTAAAATTCCAAATATGATGTCCTCCCAGGCTTTGCTGCAAAAAGGAAAAATCAGCACCTCTGTCCCCACACACACCCTCACTAAACGAAATGACACAGCCCTTTCGTTCTTCACGGGCGAGGGATCAAAAAAAAAAAAAGAATCAAACAACAAATATATTTCAGGGGATCAAGAAAAAATGAATCAAAAAAGACATTAAAAAAACGTAAGCGGACCCAAACGTGCAGAGGGAAGAGTAATATTCCATTAACGGGCGGGGGATCAACAAAAAAACGTAAATGCATCAAAAAATAAACATATTTCAGTGTGATCAAGAAAAAAACAAAAATAAACGGATCCAAACGTGCAGAGGGAAGAACAATAATCCATTCGAAGCAGTGATCAAAAGAATGAAAGAAAAACACACACAGTAAAATAACATGAAATGAACATGAACATGAAAGAAAGAAGGAAGACAGGATGAATGAGTCAATGAACAAATGAAATGAATGAAATGAAAACGCTCAACAATTAAAAGCGGGAGGGGGTGCGGGGAGGGCGCAGCGCCTCCCCCGCAATGTAACTTGGCACGACCAAAAAACAAATATCATGGAGTTTCCCCAATGAATCTTCCTTTGATAACTGGAATGGTCTCTGTGCTGGGCATCTGGGCAAAGCTTTGCAACATCGCATTTCAATTTCACAGCCTTCCTTCCTTCCTTCATTCCTTCCTTCCTTCCTTCCTTCAATCCCGCTAGCCCTTCCTTCCTTCCTTCCTTCCTTCCTTGCTTGCTTGCTTGCTTGCTTGCTTGCTTCCTTCGTTTCTACCTACCTGCCTACCTACCTTCCTTCCTTGCTTCCTCTTCCTTTCTTGCCTCGTTCCTTCCTTCCTTCCTTTGCTCGTTTCTTTCTATGTTTTTTTGATGCATTTTTAGTTCTTGTTTGATGCATTGTTGTTTATTTCTTGATGCATTTTTTTTGTTATTTTGATGCGTCTCCCCGTTCTTCATGTTTCTCTTTGCAATCCCATCATCCCTTGCATGTCGTATATGTGTCTACCCCCGTTCTTGCAAATTCATCAAAAAAGTTCTCACAAACATTGTTCATGCTCGGTGAAAACGAACAAATCAAGAAATCCGATTCTCGACCCCAAGTGGTGTCAAACTCGAAGCAGCTGCTCAATCCTTTTCAGCTCCAAAAAGCCATCCTTCTAAATTCTAAATACAATTTTCGGTTTGCACGGATGGCGAGAGTCTTGGGTTCTCGGCCCACTGCTTTGCGCAAGCTCCTGCTTCGCACAGGTTTTGGACTGTCCGAGAAGTCGAAAACGGATTTTACTTCAGCCCATTCACATCATCAAGTCCTTGACTGATGAATCCCAACTGTTACTAGGCAAGGCTGTTGCAGAAAGCGCTGGTGTGCCTTTATATTAAGCCATTCGAGTTTGACCAGAACTATAGTTGTTGGATGTTGTTGGCTTCAACCATCCTCATAACCCAACCCTTCCACGCGTCGAGGCCTCTCTCCAGGGTTTGAAAATGTCCGCCGGCATCTGGGCTTTGCAGCAAGACCTCTCTAGGTGCCACACGAGGTCTGGGAGGCCTCTTTACTTAGCTCATTGGGCAAATAGCCCATTGCTGCATGTCATGTGAACATCTGGTCTTCCGTTGCTGGCGCCCTCCAACCCAAAAATGGGCACCAGGAAAACTCACTGAAGGAAGGATCTGGGAGTCCCTTGTCTTTTTGAACACAGTATCTGTAGATTGCATGTTGTTGTGTGCTCTAGATCCAGGTCGTGCACACGGGGCCTGTGCATTCCATAGCCATTCTCATTGTCCCGTACCGTGAACCATCTAGTCGGTCAGTCTGCAATTCGCACACGCGCGTCTTTGCTTGGTGCTTCGTCAGCTGAGAAAGCTGCTCGGTTCCCATCTCCAGCCACGTGGCATCCACTGTCATGAAGGAGCCCACGTCGTAGTGGTAAGGACTGAGATTCATGGGCAGAGTTCGGACCAGAAAGGGGGGGTGTCTAAGTGGCAAAATGGGCACCTCATGCTCAACGACGCTTGAATCGAATGTCAGGTGCGGTGTGCGGACGTTTCTTTTTTTGGTTTCTGCTGATTTCCACCAACAAAACACACCGCTTTGGGAAAATAAACCATAATGTAACAGCATGTCTATTGAAAAGGTGATTTTTTTGTGCCGTTTCGACGATCCAGGTATGTTTGCAACCGTTAACTTGTTGGAACCATGAACTTGCTAGCTCTACTTGCATCGCTTATCCACCCGCGATTCGTCTTTGTCGATTCCATGCTAAGGACTATACCAATCGTCATCCATCGTCAGAACGTCAACGATTCCCACACCGTTGTTTGTGGGGTTCTTCTATGTATGTTCTTCCAACATTCGCCAGCAGCACCATGTACAACGTTGCCAACAACGGGGGCCGTTGCCGCGAACTACATGCATCCGCCACCTCTCGCCGAACTCAGCCCACCCGTAGCCAGGCCCCGCCCAGACCTCAGTTCACCCAGGCGGCTCTCTCAGACCTCCTCCCGGCGTCATCTCGTGGAACTCCGCCACGCGCACCGCGCACTCCTTCTCCGCGCGCGGCCAGGGGCGCTTGGCACGGCGGCTCCGCGCCGTCCTACGCTGGCCTAGCGGTGGTGGAGCTTCGGTGGTGGAGTGACCCAAGTGGTTCGTGGTGTAAACCATGAAATCATGAGATGAGGACACCTTGGCCAGCTGCTCAGCCCTGCTTATTGGGCTGTCTTCTTGGTGTTGATCCAAGGAGATTTATCACTTATATAGTGGCGCGGCATTGTGCGGACAATTAGCATTCTACAGCGACAAAAAGCAACCATAATCCCTTTCGCATGTTTGCCGGTGGGCCTATTTATGCTTCATGTAGACATGATTAGACATGAATATAAGATAATATAAGCATGAACAAAGGATTTAGGATCCGATGATCTATCTTCTGAATCAGTCAGAAACCCTATTGAAACTTGGAGAATCGCCCCTGGCGATCCATGGGTCACAAAACAACTCCTTGGATTCCTTGCAAGGGTTGACAATCCAACGTTTGACCCCACAGCTCGAGCAGTGCTGGAGATGGAGCGCCTCGTGGAGCAGCGCTGACCCAGCCTCCCACGAAAGCTCGACGTGTCCGAAGTCAGACAAACGTGTCCAGACTGTCTGCCTTTTTCTTTTCCATACCCATCTCCCATCTCAGCGTTTTTACTGGCGACGCTATCATGTCTTGTCGTGTTATCCAAACTCTTCCAATCATCAGCGGGATGTATCTGATTCATGTATCATACCTTCTCCGCTCGTTGACTGGCCACCCAACATCTCTTTGGTCGGTCCCTTAGACCACCTTCTCCGATTCCCCTTGGAATCCCAAGCGAAAAACATGGAAAAACTGCCTTGCTTGGCCTCAACGCCCAGAATCCAATGTCGGACCAACAAATGTCAGCTCTGCCTATCGAAAGGAGCTCTAGGCACTCTACAGGTCGCAGCTCTTTGGAGCCAACGATTGGTGAGTCTACAAATCAAACATCTATGGAAGCACGTTTGTGGGCAGGAGGTTCTGGCACTGCCTGCTTGTTTACTTCACCTTGCTTCCCATTGATTTGACAGGTGTGATGGTGACTTGCTGGCCCCCCCCAAAAAAAGAAACTGCATATATGAGTCATTCAAAAGGAGTCCAACCCTCCATTGACTGGGCGCTGTTGACCATCTAAATTTAAAGGGATGCAAAGCCAAGAAGCCAGAATCTTGCCAGTCTGCGCTATGGGCCCCCCCCAAAAGGTAATCTGCCAGGAAAAATTCCACTCAGTGAGCCAACACTCATTCCCAAGCAGGTGGGCCTTTTTCTTCAGACTCGCCCTGCGTCAACAGGCCCAGCCATTCTCCTTGTGCTGCATGGTGCCTGCCTTCCCTTTCCGTAAAAAGATGGCAACAACATGCAACAACCAACAATAGATTTTGGATCACGATGGGTGTTGGTTCAATGCTACTTACCCAATTGCCCTGCGGCAAGTAGCTCATGATGGCTTGATCATTCTTCGCCATCCCACCTCTTTCTCAACAGTGGGATAACCAGCTTCGCTGGCCAATTCCGATGTGGAATCCAAGCTCATCTGCGGAGCTCATCTGCCATGGACCTGCACATCATTGTGGCACGGTGGCACATGAACTAAAGGAGGGAGTGCTGAGGAAACCTTGAACGAGCATGAACGAGCTACAAAGGAAAACCTCCTTGCAGTTCTCAACCCCTCGGGAATCCCAATGCTTAAATTAATTTAATAGCTTCTTGTTACTACTAGTAAGGAACTTGTTACTACTAGCGTGGCACTTGTTACTAGTAGTTCAGAAGTCGATTTAATGAATCAACATGAACTAGCCAGCCATTCCTACCATTCACTCACGCATCTCTCTCCAACCTTGGCTGATTGGCCTATATTGGCCTTGGATGAACAAAATCCGGTATACTGAAAGGCCGTGCAACTGTGCATGGCTACGAGAACGTCACAAACCTGCGAACGTCACGACGCGTTTCGCATAGTTTTCGAACGTCGCACGTCACGAGGCCCGGCCAGTTGGCCATGGCCGTCTTCTGACCGAAGAAATCCACCGATTTCGGCGGATTCCGACTCTGGACTGCCACGTGGGTTTGTCTCTGATTAGTGGACCTTCAAAACATGGCGGATCGAAAGGATTCTCATATATTAGGGATCCTAAGGATGTCGTTGTTCATGGAGAGGCACACCCACACGGGAATCCACTGGTCTGCTTCACCAGCCTCGCGGCTGGTGCTGGTATGTGGTGCTCACGTCAGTCTCCAGCCCGGCTCACGGGGAAACAGCGTTCCTTCATGGGTAATCCCAAGCGCAAAGTCTGATCGATCCAGCCCACGGAGACCACAGGGATGTGGTGTTGGATCGCGTAGTCGTACTTCCTCGGAACGCAAGGCATTTGTCTGTGCTCGTTCGGCTCGGGACACTTGGTTGAGGCAATACTTTCTGAGCTTGAGTGCTCTTCCTGGATCTTCCTGGAGCACCGGAGATGGTGTGTTGTTTTTCAAGTATGGAGCGGGCTCAATGTCAATACCAGATTGGGGACCTTGAAAGCTCAGGAGAATGCAGCAGAAAAGGAATTCATCCAATGGACGACGCGCACAAGACAAGGAAATTACGGCTGCACCAAAACTTAAATTACTCCCATTTCGCTTTCTTGGGCAAAACTACCCCAACCTGCCCTCCACTGAAGGCTCCCGACTGGCAGACTTTTAGGGAAAACCATTTCCCTCTGCAACCTACTGGCTTGTTGGGGGTCCATGCTGTCCGCAGGGGAGTATACGCCTCAGTCGCTGTCCAAGATACTCTCCTTGAGCGGTTCCAGCAATCAGATGCGTGTGGCTCCGCGTCAGCTCCTCTGTGCACTCTGCCCCCAACAACTGCGCAGTCAGCGTCACCGCCTCGCGGGAGGGAAGGCCTGAAGGCGCAGTCGTACGGCTCGGTCGTCCACGGTACGACGGCCGGACCACCTGTCTTCCAAACAGTTCCTTCGCAAAGAGTCGGCCTTGAAAAGGAGGTATCATAGATATGATGTGCTCAACAGTTCTGGCATGTTCTGGCTAGAATTGAGTGCCTGCTTGTTGGTTGACCTTGCGATCGGGCACCAGAATGGGAACATTCGAATGACCCGTTGAACGGTGAACTCTGTCCATGAGACCACGAAGTGTGGTTTACTGGGTGTATTTCCGAACCTTTCTCATGGAAGTGGAGTTCACCGGCTGTTTGTAAGAGGAAAGTGGTCATCCAAGGGGCCACGCCATCCACTTCCATGATTATTTCTGGGATTTTCTGGGAGTGCATGTTTGTATACATAAAAAAGAAAAATATCTTATATATTATATATACCAGTATATATACCCATCATGTCAGACCCCATCTTTTGTCACCAGGCCACGCGAGGTGCTCAGCAAAAGACCTTCCAAGAGTCGTGGGGCGTAGCATCCAAACTCTGCGGGGCTGTCGTCCTTGTGGCCTGGTTGTGCGGCACTGGGCTGGTGCTCCAGGTCACCCATCATTCCTGGAAGATGGTTGGCCTAACGTAGAGGTGTTTGGAGGGCAAATCACACCCTGGCGGTCCCAGGCATTCTCACTGACTCATGTAGTCGGGTGAATCAAATCCATCCAAAACCCGCATCGAACTTAGAGCTATCTTCCGTCGGAAAAGCCTTCTTGGATGCTGCTCAGGGAAAGCGACTCCTTTCCAAACCAGCCTTCCAACTATACTTCAATTTCTCAAAGGCACACTGCTCTTCTGCCACCTCGGCTCATAGCCAACTCCTATATTAATAAAGGTTCTAAGATGTTCTAAGGACTGTTCTAAGGTGGAGCAGGAAGGCCCCAACCCACCAAGCAGTCTGTCTAAACCATTGAATTCTTGTGCAGTCATCCATTCGGTTGCCTGGCCGAATGGCGATGCCTCCCAAAACATCCACCGCAAGGGTGGTCCCACTGGACCCCATGGCCCCGCCCCACCTGAGATGCACGAGCGGAAGGAGCTGAACGGTGCTCCGTTCGAGGCGCACAACGGCCGGTGGCGTGGGAGCAAACGCCCAGCCACGCAGGAGGCACGTAGCCAGGCCACCCGGAAGGATTTCTGTTGAGTCCGGGAAGCCACAAAACCTGCAGAGTCTTCAATGGTGTCAAGCCATTGAAGAACATGTGAACAATACGCTAGACATCTGTAGAAATCATGGAGGATCCAGAAGGATCTCCTCTGGTTAGGATTTCACGAGGACATCAGTCTTTTGGAGCGGAGGCATTACTAGTTGGAGCTGCCAAAGAAAGAAGCTCTTGGAGGGATCAGGTGGGATTCTTGGTGGGATCACTAAATCAAGGGGCCAGGACAACTACCACCGCGCGGCCCGATAAGCACCAAATCGGCACTTGTCACATGAAGCTGGATGGCAGCACCACACCAGCGAGCCAAGCGATAAATCTCAGGCAGTTCAGAGCGCCCTGCCAGCAGCGCAACCCTCTTACCTTTGAAAAGGGTCCGCCGGGAGATATAACTCTTCCGGCCATTCCGGAGAACCTCCTCTTGCATCGTCCGACTCTCCATCTCAGAGATGGGTAGGGAGCGAAACTGTTGAATGGCACGTTGAAGCCACTGCTCGTGGGAGTCCATGGCTTCCTTCAATGCCTTGCAGCAGCTGGAGCTCCTGGAAAGCTCTTGGTCAAGCAGAAGCTCAGCCACCAGCTGCCATGCTTCAGCTGGCAATTGCCATGCCGGCCCTCTTCGTCTGAAAGAACGTGGAGCCAGTGACCAGGGTGTCGAGTCTGGAGTCGCTTGGAAGAGCTGAGACATCTCGACTGCCGGACTCGCCATCCCAGCTGAAGCCGAATCCGCCGAAGTCGCCGAAGCCGAGCACGACACGTCCATGACCGGCGCCCGCTGCGAGAGGTGCAGAGACGTCACGCCATGGCAGGGGCAGCTCGTGGGACGGCTCGTGGATCCACTTCATGTGATCAATGTTGGACGATAAGATATGATAAGAGATTAAGCATGATTAACTAAGAACAAGGCATTTCAAGTGGCTAGGGTAGAAGGAATGGGCTGTACATCAGCTGTTTCATGCCCGGCTGTCTGTCCTACGGGCCCGCTTGACTTCTGCAGCTAGCTTCGGTCCAAAACAAGATGCAAGCGTTGTGTCCTTCAACAGCTATAGATAGCCCAAGTGCTCACATACGTGTCATAGCCTCTTCCAAGAAAAAGGTTAACAAAATCGTTGCCGTGCGACCTACGACCATTTATTCAAATAGCCCAAACCGAAGGCATCTAAAACACTTCAAAATCCCGGTTCCATGGTCACGGTAAAAACTAAGGTTCTAATCCCCAAGCACCAAATGAGACCACATTTGGTTCGGGGTGCCAACGTCTGAGGGGATACATTTGTTAAAAGACCATCAGCTCCCAGCAACCCAACAGAATCTATATACCCAATCAAAAAACAAGTTAACTCAGATCAGCTCATATCTGTCCCTCTCTCTCTCCCTCCCTCCCTCCCTCCCTCCCTCCTTCCTCCACTGTCTGAGCCACACATCAGCACCCATTTCATTTCAGATCCTTTCAGTGTTCCACCAGGCTATCCCAACATAGAGGTGGATAGACAAACCCAAGTAGAAAAACACACCATTGGAAATTGTTTATAAGGAGGCCAACTTCTGGGAATGAATATTTAGAGACCTGAAGCTAAACGGCACCCTAACATTGGAAAATAGCCTGCGGAAAACATATCATTGGACATTAATCCTAAACATATTCACGCGTGTGCCATTGTTTCTGGGTGCAATTTGTGTTTTCTGGATTTTTCTGGTGGGTCTAGTTGACCGTTCAAGGCGATGCCTAAATATCCTGCATGCATAGAATAGCTCAAATCAGGGCCGGGCCAACCTCCAGCCTTGTTATTCTGGGTCCTACCTTAAGCTACCAAAATCACGGTGAGGTGGTAGCATGTTAAAATCCTGAGAGAGAGAGAGAGAGAGCTTGAGGTCCTACCCGGTCCTACCCCTACCATTCCATGATGAGCACCGATCCAGGATGCTGACCTCAATAGAATCGTGGGACGCACGCCTGGGGAAAAAAACAAAACGGTGCCACTGCTGTCCGCAAAATCCATTTTACCATATACCAGGACCATCCAATGGATGTCCAATGGACTACCCTACCCTACTTATAGGTCTCCATTGGGCACCCATTGGAAGTGCTAAGTATGTTCTCAATTCTCTGCATCTTTTCCCCATCCCCCCACGCCTCCAGCTGCCCAAGCCGCCCCGAAGTCTCCGCACCATGGAGCCAAAACGGCGAATCCACGCGCATCGATGGGCTCGACCAGTGACGAACATGTCGCCGCGGTGTTACAAAAAAGAACACCAGGCCACGGGTTCACTCTCATCTGCCCTGATCATCAGTTTGGATGGCTTTAAAATTATAGGGACTGAATCATCACGCGGGTGGGGTGGAAACGATGCAAGCCTATTTGAGCGGCCGCCTGTTTCGGCCGAAGCGCAAGCGTCTTGAACACTAGCTGCTAGCTGTACTAACTAGCAAAAAGGTGGTCTGGCAACTCCGCAGTGGAAATGCTAGCAACTCCGAGTGTGTTCGTGACCTTTCTGGTGAGCACCTTTGATTTTCTTTCGTGACACTGGGAGGTTTAGAAGCTTTTCCAAAAAGGCGAAACCGGATCCACTGCGTTGTAGAAAAGCTGCGTTGGGCTTGAGCGACCGGACCTGTTAGTTGTGATCTGAGGTCACCGCAGATCCTTCGGTGGGATTCCACTGCAGCTCTTCGACCGACCTTCGGACCACCAGGTGGCCAGGAGATGGCCATCTGCATCTTTGCTGGGCGTCCGGTTGAGACAGGCAGGTCTGAAGCTAGAGTCTAGTGGGTCATGACATGCTTGAGGGATATGAAGCACATAAGGTGACAATCCTAAGTTAAGGGCTTTACACGGAATGCATAAAGCAATTGAACGATGTATGGGCATACAGCGTGGCGTGAGGGAGTCCTCATCCTTGTACCGTGACATGCCTCTAGAGCTTGCTTCAGGCCACGCCGCACGGCGCACGGCCGTGCCGGGATGCCTATGTACAGTTGGGATGTGCGCGGCCAATGCGTTGGCACCCATGATCTGGTTCCGAGGATGGGATCGTCTTGTTGCCTTTCATCGCTCTGGCTGGAATTGCACATTTCATCACAATTCCCCAAGACCAGCTCAAACAAATTGTAGATCTACCATTTCACACCCAAACCTTTTGGCATTTTAAGCCTTCACCCATTCCTCCTCCTCTTCTTCCCTCACTCCTCTCTGTCCTCTCAGCACTCCCTCTCGAGGAGCCGCCACCTCGCTGCCCACGGCCGCCCCCAGCGCGCCCAGCCACTCGCCGCACTCGTCGTTCCGCCACTCCGTCGGCGGCACGCCCTGCACCGCGGTGATCTCCACGGCGCGGCGCGACGGCGGCGGTGCCAGGCCCCGGCGGAGCTGGGCGTTCAGCCGCTCCGGGGGCAGATCGCTGGGGTAGGCGTAGAAACCTCGAACTTTGGGGAGCAGAGGTCTTGACCTTTTCCCGAAGGTTCTGGACCGGACAATGGACGAGGTGTTGATTTGCGTTCGGTGCCATGCGCTTGCTAAAAGATATGAGAACTTGCGCCTGTTCATGTAAACAATAATTTGTCCTTGCCAAACCAGCACAGCCATAAAATTTCCTGCTGTACTCACATGATCGAAGGCTCATGCCCAACGGAACAGCCTCCACGCAAACACATGATGCAGCCCCCCTCCCCTCCTTCTTCGGAACCTTTGGCTCTGATTGAACCCAGCGGCGCAATTGAGGAGACATCCACAGCGGCACCTCGAGGGGCAGCTGCGTGGCCGTCTCCGCCTCCGCCAGCCACGTCGACGGCTCGGCCTCCTCCGGAGCCCGCTCCGACCGCGGCACCAAAGGGCCGCGCTCGGCGAGGCGGCGCTCGCAGAAGTGCCGCAGAGGGCGGCAAATGCGGGTCTCACGCAGCAGGGAGGCCGCCCACTCATCGCCTGAGATGGTCCAAGCCGCTGCAACACGAAAAGGAGGGCGAATGGCAGCACTGGGTGTGTTCCGCTGAGATGATCACTGAGAGGGTGTGAAAACGGCGATTGGTGTTTTCACAAAGCAAAGCCTGAGCTGCCCACCAGAAGTCTCAGGCTCGGAGCTTGGACCAGAATTGGCATTCAAGGAGTACACAGCCAATGATCCTGCCCTCGTGGCCACGTACCTCACTTACAAAACACTGTTATAAAACTATAAATATATAAAACTGAGGATGCCTATTTGGCTATTGTGCTAAATTCTGAGACCTTCAAAACAAGAACTTCAAAAAACATTAAAGCATTTTTGGAGAACAAGGCTCATCCAGGGGAAGCTGCTTGAGGACCTCGAGGGGGGGTTGAAGAAGGTGCACTGTGGCAGGAGACCTTCTTGAAGAAGCACCTTGCAGCTGCACGCAGCATGGACTAGCATTTGCAGCTGACTACTTTCCAGAAAATACAAGCATTCCGCATTCCATTGTCTTTTTCAAATGCTGGTTCACACCAAAGTCATCCCAATTCCGACAAGGCCTTATACATCTGAGATGTGCTTTCAGACGGATCCGACAGAGTCAAGCTCATTCAATTTGGCACCCTACGTCAGCTCTGACACGGCGTGGTGACAATCCAAACACCGCCGGCGGCCCCGGAGCGACGGTCAAAGTTGCAGCTCTGCTTGCCCCCTACAGACCCCCAACCTCACCGCCAAATTGCCAAAGCTGAACAAAGTTGAACAACAGAAATCACAAATCCACATGTGCAACTCCCCGAAACTCTTCCAGACAGTCTTCCAGACATCTCACATCCACTCTGACATCATCGGCACCAGCGGCTAGCGGCTACTCCCTACACCGAACCCATCTCCGTCCGAGGTACCGAGCCATTCCGCACGCGGGTGCACACGTTGAGGCCCACCGGACTGCGACTGCCGGCGCCGTGCCGCGCGACGGCGCCGGGCTCCAGCAGCCGGTCGTAGCGCTGAGCGTGGAAGGGTGGCAAGTGGAAGACCTGCCCAAAAATCGCGGCAGACGTGCTCAAGTACATAGGCGGTTTTGACCTGTAGAAGCCTGCTGCTTGTGGTTACGAAGCATGGAACTAAGCGTGATGCTACTCAGCTGTGAAGAACTAGCAAGTTTAAGGAAGGTGTCGGAACGTTGTGATTTTGGTGTTGTCAACCTATGACTGCAGGTGGTCTTCCAAGGAAACTACCCCCACGTTCTTCGCCTATGGACAAACATGGGTTCGTGACTGCATGCCATGAGGAGAAAGGTGTTGGACACCCAGAACAGCGGACGTGCCATGAAGTCCTCGAGGCCAAACTTGTTCAAAGTTTTTTGGCCTTGCACCATCTTGTACCAGTGTGCTTGCTCTCCACTGGGCCCTTCTGCCAGCTAACATCAACTAACTACTCTGTTTGGAGGATGCCCTCATTGTATGCTGAAACTCCATCTGTTCCAAGGCGCATGCGTGGTGCCCTTCGCCGAGGACACGGCGACAAGCTGCGCGTCGTCTGAAACGCAAAGGCCACTGATCACCGCAGGGGTTAAGCCACGAGAGAGCGTGAAGAGGTGCTCAAAGCGGAGAAAACCCAAAGTCCCTGCCAAACCTGCAGATTTTTTGGACATGAGGGAGCCTTTGTGGATGTTTTATGCTTTCTCAGCCGATCTGCTGGGTATTTGGAAGAACTGGAGGTGATGATTACAGTATGTGATGATGGCTTTGATTAGAGAACATGATGTCTACAAGCAAGTTGATAAAGAATTGAATTTGGACACAATGACTGTCGGCGTCTCTTCGAGACTGTCTTTGTTAAAGTCTTGGGTGCTGTGGTGGTTGAAGAAGAATTTTAGGGCCCCCTAGAGATTCCAACAATGTCATTCTGATCATTGTTGAACAGCTTAAACCGATCTCGAGGTAGTATTGGCTCATGTCATGACTGAAAAAAGTCAGGAGGAAAAACGAGTGCCTCATGAAAAGCTTCTTTTATCATCCGCATTGGTCCTTGCTGTTGAATATCATGGACGTTCCAAGGGTTCATGACTGGTGTGGCTGCTCGAAATGTCGCTGCTCGAGTCACCGGTGCTTGATGGGGATGAAACCAGTCACCGGTGACTGGCGATGTCCCACTTTCTCGTGTCTTCCCTGCAGAGACCGAACAAGGTGGACGTTCGCGACCGCCCCGCAGACCGATTCACCGGACCTCCTTGCTCCAGCAGGGTGTCCCCTGTGCCCAGCATGGCTCGGTGCACCAGGATCCGATGTCCTAAGGCTCCGCAGGTCACCAATTGGAGCCCCGAGGGGTCCCAAATCATCGCTTCGATGGGCTCGCTGTGGTCCTGGCGCCGAAAGAGAACGAAAAGCGCCCGGCCGCGGCCTAGCGGGGCGCACCAAAGCGCGCGCTCGTCGCAGGTTCAGGGCCGTTTGTGGGTGGAAAAGGTCATCCAGGACTTTGATTTCGATTGCTTAACGACAAGTTCATTCATTCGGTTTCACAGCCTCGAATTGCGAGATCACATTTTGCGATGCCACATCTCGCACCGCGATGCTTCCACTGCGCAAGCTTCCAGGGCTCGATGTGGACAAGGTATCCTGGCCAAGTTGAAGCTTTTGAATCAGCCGCAAAGTTCATTGATATGCAAAAATTGAAGAATCCTAGACTTTGAGGGTGATCAGTCCATACTAGGATTCTCCAGCCAGCGTCGTACATAAACATCAACACAGCCCAAAAGCTATTAATTGAAAAGACATCAAGACAAATAACATATATATATATATAGGGTTCTCTCATAATATACCTAGAGAATCTTGCAGCGTTTATTTCCGCCGTCATTACAAAACACACATCTTTTGCGGCAATTGGCATGAAGAAACACGTCGCTTTGCCAGAAACATTCTGCATTCTAGAAACATGCCGCGACTTGCTTTTAGCAAGCTTCACAAAAACACATCGCACACTGACACGGGCAAACACACTGCAAACGCGGGCAAACACGCCGCAAACAGTAACATTATATATATATATATATATACATTTTGTTCGGGACTTGAGGTCCAGACCCCGAGTTGAGTCAAAATGCCGCAATTCTAGAAACACGATGTCGTGGCATTTCTTCAAAACCTTTTTTTTTCTCTCTCCTGAGCGGCATCGAAATGTTCATGCCAGTGGAGTCTGTAGGTATATTTGTGCGTCCTTTTTATCCTTGCATGGCCAAGGCTCAGTACTCGGAGGCATGAAGACCTGATCCAGCGTCCTCTGCCCCACCTGATGTCTCGCCGCGCGCGATACTGTCGGCGCAGCTCAGCTAGCTAGGGCTAGGCTTCGGCTTCTGCCAGTTTGTAATCAGCACTGGACTGAGATATAAAAACACTGTAGAAACACTTGTATACCCCAAAAACACGTTTGAAAAACAAGCAGGCCAAACCAAAACAAAAGCATTAGAGGAACACCTGCAGCCTCTCAGGCTGGCGTGTGACAGTTTGCCCTGAGCCCCAAGGGAACACTGTCACAAGCGCCCCCTGGGGCTGGGCATTAGCATCTGGTCCTCAGTGGAGAGCCAACGACTGGAGACCGCACAGTCATCCCCCTCGGAGACCACAATGTAGAATCTTGATGAATCAAAACTCAAAACCCCCATGCGAAATGGTTTTACAATCCAAATGGGTGGTTCTTACTATACTATATAATTAATGAACAATCTACGTTAAGTCTGGATAAGTATGGCATCCAGGATTTCCGAGATCCGCAAGTCTCCACCTCCCTAGCTTGCCTGGCCCAAATACTGCAAGCCATCCTTCAACGCCGTCGGCAGTTGACGCCGCACACCCGGTGCATGGGCCACTGCACCACTGGATGATGACACCTCGATCAGCGTGAGTTTCTGGTGCCTGAGGGTTTGGACGCGAAGATCCCTACAAGGCGATCCTCCTGTATAGCCAGCATGTTGGGGGCTCATTCTGCATCCATGGTTGTGGAGACATCTCCCTGCCATGACCTCCCTCATTGCTTCACTCATTGCTTCACTCCAAGGAACAGTCTCATGGGGTGGTAGGTTGTATGCCAGCCACCGATGTCCAAGTGCAAAGGTTGGGCCCAAGGCACCGTGACACTGCACACCTGACCAGCGGAAGAAGCGACCAGCGGTGTGATAACTCAATCGTCCGGTCGTGGTGACCAGTGTGGCCCGGATTGGCCAAACCATGCCAACCCCAAACAAATCCATCTTCCATACCACCCATGCCAGAATGACCATCATTGAACCCACCTGTTGGTTCTCCTCAGCAACCCTCAGCAAAAAGAACAAACTTCCACTGTCCAAACCCTAAAACCCTATTCAGATCAGCAAGTGCCATCGATGGTTTTCTGGGCCAGAGAGTTGTGTCGTTGACTTGGACCAGGTGTCTCGTTCCACACATCCAGAAACTTGAAGGAGTTGCCTGGGTGGTCGAACTGGACACATTCCGTGGAACGTTCTCGCTGTGGACCCTCACCCCTTAACCAGTCCTAAGCTTGAAACCCAACAATACAGATTTCAGGTCAGTTGAGGGTGTACCAACTGTATCTATCTAGTCCTCTCCACCGTCTCCGTTTCCCACCTAAACCCTGAACCATCCTGAACCTATCAGCCTATCACATCCTATCACCGCCCGAAAAAAGAGACAAAGCAAGAGAAGGGCACATATCGCAATCCAATCCCAAGTTCTTCCATGTTCTTCCCACCCTTTTGTTGAAATTAAGCATCGCTCCGAGTGGCTAAAAAGCACCTGGAAGTGCAAAGCATCGAAAAGCTCCACCTGCTTGGCGAAGCCCACCGCGAGGAACCTCCGCGAGGCCTGAAGATGCTTCGCCGGCTCGGTGAGGCGTAGGAGGTGGACGTCCTCATGGGATTTCAAGGAGAAGAGTCGCACCAAAGCAGGAGCGCCCTTGTGCAAGTAGGCCATGAGTGGAGCCTCACAAAAGGACGGATTTCACGGGGATGAAAGGTGGATTGCTCTGGAAAAGAGGTGTGGTTCGGATCTGCGCAAAGCAGCCAGGCTGTAGCTTGGCAGCTATATGAGTGAAGATCGACTCATATCAAGGACACCCATCGAAGGATCTTCCCCAGAAGTTGGGGGAAAAGGATCATTCTGGGCGAAAAGTTCCATGATCTTCGACCAGCAACCGCAGTCACGCCCATGACGTCAGCAGAGGCATCGACTGGCAAGAGTGGGAATGGCAGCAGGCGCGCCTGATGGAATGTGCCCCTAGTAGCATCCTTGCTCCTAGTAGCGATGCCCTTTGCTCCTAGTAGCTTCTTGTTCCTAGTAGAAAGCCTACGAACGGAACCAAGGGGCTACGAACGCTACGAACGGAGCAAGATTGGACGCTACGGAGCGAGATCGGACGCTCCTGGCCTTAGCTACGAACGGAACAAGAAGCTACGGATCTCTGTCTGCTTTTCTCTGCTTTTCTGCCAAAGAAGGTGGCCTCTGACCACTTAGTGTTGGGGGAGGCCAAAAGTTTTTTGGTTTGGAAGACCCCAAGTGTTGGGACATCCTTTGGTCCCGTGACCTATATATACGTATCAGGAGAATCTTACAAAGCCATGGAGCCTTGACAAATTTGCAGAAGAAAGCGACCACAAAATTCTCAAATGATCTGGCCTGAAGAACCGGCTTGTCTTGCTTGGACACCAACCTGGGAAAAAAACGAGCTTCGGCGTATCAAGATGTACCAAGAACGGGCACAACCAGCGACAAAAACCGCCTGCTCCGCACTGATCATGTCTGACCGACCCAACTCAATCAACATCCAATGCCTTCCAAGGTTTAAGCTCCAAAGTGCCCTTGGAAGCTCAAATCCATGAGAAATCATAGGGTTTTCAACGGCTTTCATGTTTCACCTCACCAAGCACGTCCCACTTGTGCCGGCGAAACCACTCAGGCTCGGACTCTTTGGCGGACGTTGGATCTTGCAAATCCCAAACCTGAAATCCATCGGTGTAGCCGATCACCAACAGCTGCCGATGCTCCTCCTGGCTGCGTGAAGGGTAGAGTTGGAGGATGGCCACCGATGGACAGCCTGGACTAGGTCTGTCATCCTCAAGCACATCTAGAACGCGGAGACTTCCAAAGCAGCTGACAAGGGGACAAGATTGAAGACCTGATCCTAGTTGAATACTGCTGAAAAGCGTGACCGTTGTATTGTTCGACCTATTAGGGTGGAGGCCATCGGATTGGGCAGGATCCTCAGTCCTCCGGCCACAAGACCCGCTCGATGGAGAGCCAGGTGATATGCCGCACGGCCTCTGAGATCTGTGGGTTGAGGCCCGCAGCATCCTCACGGGAGAAGCTGTGGATCCTGTGGATCCGGTGGCGGGTTTTCTTCCAAAGCCAACGTGGCAAGTGACGTTGAATGGCTTTCAATGCAAATCCTCAGCCGCTGTCATGTTGAAGTTTTGGGAATGCCAGCGCGAGATCGTTCAACTTTCAGAGGCTGCAAAAAAAAGAGCAGGTGGTGCGGGCGTTGATCCGTTGACCCTCCAAAAAGCGTTCTTCCGTGGAAGAACCAAAGGCGCCTTCTTCAAACAACACGCGTTTCTCGTTGGCGTTTGGTTGGCCATAGATCTCTCGTTTTATGTCATTTCATACTTACGCAGTCCATTTCTGTGTGAAACATGCTGTCAACCACAAAGGCCGCGAAGAGCAGCTCCCGACGCTTTCACATCTCAGCTCCCAGAAATTGGGCAGATTCCATCGCTACTAGGAGCAAGGAAGCTACTAGGGGCTCCTGGCCTTACTACTAGTAACAGGAAGCTGTTGGAAACAATAAATAGAATTATTAGAATTGAATTATATTAGACTTGAAGCGAATCCACCGCTCTGTTGGCACCGCTCTGTTCGCACCTTGACTGACGTGGGGATGTACCCCGAGATGGACGAGAACAGGGAGCTGGCCACACTCATGGTGCAGCATGGCAGAGACGCAGCTGACCCTCCAAAAGGCTTGTTATAGTAGCTTCTTGTTCCTAGTGGTAAGGCCAGGAGCCCCTAGTAGCGTCCGATTGCTCTGTTCGTAGCGATGCCAGTGAGCCCCTAATAGTGTCCGTGTTACTAGATATCAAGGACGCAGCTGATCTTTCTTGCGTTCCGTCTTGTAACCACATGTCCACACTAGCCACTCTTTGTTTTCATCCTTGGTGCATCTCATGAGACGTCAAGCTGCTTGGTCTTTCCATGTGCATTGCTGGGGGGTGCTGGGCTTGATCGTTATGGATGGCTTCTCAGCTTCTCATGATCTTCTTCATACTTCCGCCCTGGAGCACTGAACAAAGTGCCACTGACTCGTGCTGTTTAAAAGCACATGGACCAACATATATGTCATAGGACTGCTTGCAGGTATGACTCACTATGACCACCTTAAACATGTTTTCCACCGTGGATCACTTTAAATGAACGTGGGATCCTTCTATAGTGTCCTTCTTGAGCCAAAGCCGGCGAGGGAGGGCTGAGGACATCCCCACATGGTGCCTGCCATTGACTATCATTGACTGCTCGCAACATGTCCGGGAGGCCACTATCCTGGGCCCGGGAGGCCTTTGGACCCAGCTTTGGACCCATGCCTTGGCACGCCCCCAAGCGCCATACACGAGAGCCATGGGACCGCCGAGCGATGGAGTCCTTGTGCAGCTGTGCCTTCTTTCCCTTGGCATTCTTCTCCTCTAGCCATGCGATTCTTACGCTTAGCCTTTGAAATGCCATGAACCTTCGGCATGCTTGGCACGCGCACTCAGAATCAGTGGTAGACAATTGCTCCTCTTGAAATTCTTGAAGCACTTCAAAAGGGCTCGATGACCTGCCGCCGGGCCAGGAGGAGTCGATCAACGTCATGTTTGAACAGTTGAACTCCTATGCCACCCAAAAATGTTCAAACAGTTGAACCTGACTTAAAGGACACTGCAAACACCCCTTTTCCACTGCTAATGGAGCAAATAGATATAAATTAAATCATATGTTATGCCCACCAACCGACCGCCTTGTGGAAAGAGAGTATGGGCATCCTCATCTTTGCCTCCAGATCCACCAAAGCTGCCAGAATTGGGCGTCTTCATGTCATACTCCATCACCAAAGCCAAGCTGAAATGGTCCAGCTGTGTCCAAGTGGCCACGAGGAAATGCGCTTAACAGCCAACCCGATGTGTTCGTAGTGAGAGTGATCATCCCTGGAACGCCTCCACCATGGCCAACATCGTCCGTCACCCGTGTCCGGCATGAAGCTGAGTTAACTAGGCCCAACCGAACTCATGAGGAAGATCTTCTTTGCTTGCTCCTTTACCTCTTGAATTTCCGACTTTGAGACGAAGCTGTTGGTGGTTCGAACCCTCATCCTGGAGACACACGGAGACACAAAGTGTGCTCGTAAAATCGTTTCTATCTACTGCACTTGGGGTCTCACATTTTAATCCATCCATGCACTGGTCCATGCACCTAATTTGCCGTGTTTGAGGTCTACGGACTCTGTTATTCTGAATATTCTTACGCTTATAGGATTTGCATCTGCACTCTGGGACAGAACTGTGTTCCCTTCGGAGGCCAGTACTCAGGGCTCAGGGCTCGGGGGGGACTCCATTTCATGGGTTTTCCGACGTGTTAAAAACAGAAAGTCTGGCTGAAGCAAATCCAAATCTTCAATTCCGATCGCTTCTGAAGCTCCATCCACTGGCCGGGCAGGCTGCGATCACTCTCGCCGGCGATCACTGTTGGGCTTTGACCCGGACCGGCCGCCGCAGTGTGAACGCTGACGGACATCCAATCCTCATCGGAAGCCTGGCGATGAGACTGGGGGCGAGTGAATGAATTTGAGTTGCTACAGTAATAGCCCATGCATGCCCATGCCCCATGTCCATTTTCAAGCCTCGTAGCATTGCTAATCTCAAACACAGAATCCAACCAACACAGCCGGAGGAGGGAACAGTTGGCGGTACACGGGTCGTCTCGGCGTCTCTCGGCTCTTGCCTCGCTCACTTCGGTCACAGGCAGGATCATGGTCTCATACTTGCCGGGGTCCTGCTAAGGAATCCATGAAAACATGTGAAAACCACGGAATTCCCATAAATGGTGTTTGTTCATGTTTGTGGACCTACCGAGGGGAGGGGAAACACGACCTTGGCCGCAGGGGATTGCGGTTGGTGTTGAAGGGATGCCAATCCGAGCAGCGGGTTGAAGATGGTTCGAGCATCTTCAGCTCTGTGGCAAACTGGATTCTCCAATCTGTGGATTCAACCAACACGCCTCCTCCATGTCTGGCTAGACTGGCCAGTAAAGGATATCACAACCTGCTAGTACGTGTGCACTTCACCCCTTATTGCACACCCAGTAAGTACCTACAGTGGCCTATAGTTCCTGTTGGAGCATCTTTGATCTGTGGGCGGCAGGGTGCAGTCACCTGCTTGCAGACCCGCCAGAGGAACTCGGCCGCGACGGTTCGCAACACGTTGTCAGCGACCAGCACACCACCCAAGCTCCTGAGCTTCAGTGAAGCCAACCAAGCAACGCACCGGAGTCACAGCACTTGCAAGCCAGGGCCAGAAACACTGGCAGGGGGTATAGCAAGTGCAGCGTAGAATGAAAAAGGTCTACCAAAGCTAATTCTAATTGCACTTAATTCCAATTCTATTTACTTATTGTTTCTACTAGCTTCTTGTTCCTAGTAGTAAGGCCCTTTGCTCCTAGTAGCGATGCCCTTTGCTCCTAGTAGCTTCTTTGCTCCTACCCCCCCTGAATGAGCACAGGAAAATATCTCATGACTCTACCAGCCACATAGCACTCAGCCGAGGGGACGCGGCAAGAACTCAGCCGAGGATCAAAAGGCCCAGTTCTTCAATCAGCATCAGGTCTTCGGGGTACTGCGCACCCCAGCGGTCCATAAAAATCAACTTGTAGCCGTTGGCACCGCCTCGGAGCGATGTGAATGGGTGAAGCGATGTGAAGGGGAAGAGCGAGAAACTTACAAAGATGTTTCCTTCTATTCGATCTTTTCTCGTCTTTTCTTTATGTTTATAATAGCGATGGCCTGTAAAAAAGGATGTCCAAGAAGCCAAATCCCGCGAAGAAGGACATCCGCACTTAGAGAATACAGTATGTTCCTCATCGCCCAAGCAACTTGGCATGCTTCGGCCCATCCCCTGCATCCTTTGCGGCCATATTATACCGCTGGCATGCTCTTGAAGATTCAGAAGATTGACTTCTGTAGGTATAAATTACCGTATCTATATTCACAACGTGTCAGCAAACGGAAACTAAGGGTGGTTCCATCTTCAAAACATGTCAAAACCATACTAACCCCTACCTGGACAAGATTGTTACAAACTCAGCTCAACTGCAAGCTACAAGGCCACACTGGCCGGTGACACAAGCAAGTCACCCACTCCCACTGGTCCAGTTGCTGATCCGGCGAAGGCGAGGGAGTAGCAGCTTGCTGTGGCCGGTGAAAACACTCACCCTCGATGAAAGACCAACATGCGCAAGCACACCTGAGCCCCATCGAGTCGGAGTGTTCGAGTCGCATCTGCCAGGCCAGTCGCACCTGTCAGAACACCCAGATCCAGCGCGGATCAAGAGGTATGACGGTATGACCATACAACATCACCTCGAAGGGATGCACATCAACCCTAGAAGCAGCATCCAGCTTCTCTCCAATGAGAATGACTAACGCCACATTTCTTGACGAAACATGCCTCGAGGCGTGCTGTTAGCAGCCGATAGTGAAGTCTAAAGAATGACTTTCGAGTACTCTCTTGAATCTCTTCCCACCCCTCTTCCCCTCTTCCCATCCGTTTCCATCCGTCCAAGGCACATCGAGCAATGCCCACAAGAAACGGATCCATTTCCACGGTGACGACCTGTTACATGTTTAGGGCGGGCCCTTTTGTTAATGAGACAAGGCAATTCATAATAATTGTGGATCCTTCCAATGGATCAATGGCTTTGTCATGCTTTATCGCATCATATCATTTGGTTGTCTAAAACGGAGCCACGCTCAAACTGAACAATGGGATGGGGCATGGTATGTATGCTCATCATTCCAAATCATTCAAGCTGAGAGTCACCAGAAGATAAGAATCAACACATTTCCAATATGGTGCGCCTGCGCTCCCAGGGCAGCTAGGGAGATCGCCGAGTATCCACAATAAGTTCCAATCCTGGAGAACATTCAGGTGGCCACCGTAGCAGGAACCAGCGGCACCATGCAAAGGCACCAGCGACGCACGACGCACTCTAGCTCTAGGACGCTTAGAGGTGCTTGATTCATCTTCAACACTATTGGTCACTAACCAGACTCGAGGTTTCATTGAATAAATCCGAGTGAGCTCACAACTCACCTTCCCTGAAGAAGGTGAGCATATGGCGTTGGTCCCGTCCCAACTCCGTCCACCACCCACCACTGCATCCACTGCGTTGTCCCTGCATCCACGGCTCTCCAGCACCAGAGGCTCGCGGCCACAAATCCCTGCGGCGGCGGCACACAACGTTGAACTCTTGGCACCTCCGGCGAACTTGGCCTCAGTGCAAGGAATGCGACGAACAGAACAAAGGGCCTCGCGGGCATCGCTACGAACGGAGCGCTCGGACGAAACGAACAGGGCGCTCCTGGCCTTACAACTAGAAGCAAGAAGCTACGAACGGAGCAAAGGGCCCACAAAAGGGTCACCGTGACAGAGCCGTTGAGTAAGCCCCATGTTCTGCTTGATGTTGGGGGGCATCGGGTGTGCAGTCCCATTCGTGTCAAAGGGTCGCCCACTAGGTCGCTCCAATTGACTAACTCATGGCTGTGTGGGGTGCCCAGTCAGTAGACCATGGCATCATGGCATTGAGGCATATTATATGGCTTCTAGGTTGGAGGCCATAGCTGATTTGGAGGTTCTTCCTTCATTGCGTTCGCGTCGACTTGCACCGTGCCCTTCAACATCTGGGACCTCTGAGGTGACCTCTGAGACCAAGCTCGTTGCACCAAGAGGCCCAAACGCCAGCTTCGCCCAGGCTCCGG